TTTCTCATACAAAGAGATATTTGCGAGAGTTTTCACATACTTAGAGGGATTTGGGAGAGGTTTGACATAGAGAGAGATAGTGTGGAAACGATTGAGAGAGGTTCCATGTGGGATAGTTGTGAGTGTCCGGCATCGAAATGTATGGTTCGTGAACCCTGTTAACCCTTGTTTAAGGATCTTATACACCCCCGATGAGTATGCAACATTGTTTTATCGTTCTAGTTCATTGATTAGAACTAGGGTTTAGGAAATTTTTAACACAAGACTTTTCTCAAGTGATGTTTCCCATTAATATAGCAAGTTATACAGTATGAACATAACACAAACCCTAATGCACAAGGTTTAATCGAGTTGACCGATCTTGACTTGATGATTTGACTTGACTCAAGATTGATGATTGTCACACAGTATTCCCTTTTTGGTACAGAAATGATCCAAAACTGCCTTCTTGAATTCTGTGCCATTATCAGTTCGGAGCGCCTTCACCTTCTCATTTGTTTGATTCTCAATCATCACAATGAACTTCTTGATCAGATCAAAAATTCCTCTCTTGTTGGATAAAAAGAAAACCCATGTAAACCGCGAGTAGTCATCTATCACAACCAGGCAATAAGAACTCTTGTTGATGCTGGACCAAATAAATCCATGTGAAACAAATGAAGAACGTTGTTGATTGAGTTGACTGTCTTTGGAAAATGGGGCTTGAGATGATGTTTTCCTTGAGCACACGCCACGCATTTTTCATAAGTGATAAAGTCTTTGACAGGAACGGCACGCACTATCTCGTTTTTAACAAAATGATTTAGGTTCTTGGCATTCGCATAACCGAGACGACGATGTCAAAGCATGGCATTGTGTTCAGAGACTTTAGAGAAGAGACAAGTAACTTGCTCTGGGATATTATGATTCATGTCTATGATGTATGCATTTCCACCCCTCTTTGATTTCACCAAGATCCAATCTTCATGGATAATAATTTCAGGCTTTAAGATGAGACACTCTTTGTCAGTGAAGTCTGATAAATATCCTTTGTCACAAATCTGTGAGACACTCAAAAACTGTGCTTCAACTCGGGAGCATAGTTGATGTTCTCAAATCTAAGCACTCCATTTGTGACAGTTCCTTTATGGGTGATCTTCCCACCTTCTCCTCCCGCGAAGGAAACATAGCCCCTATTAAAAATTCCAAATGTCATGCAGTTGGGAGATGTCTCCTGTCATGTGCCTGGAACAACCAATGTCACCATACCAGGGTCTGACGACATTCCTCCGTAGTTGTTCCTACACGATGCGTGAGATTAATTAGACTTTGGAACCCAAGTCATTGAAACACTGGTTTTCCCTTGTTAGCAACATAAATTTCTTTTTCACTTTTTTAATTTGAGTTATTACCAAATGCACATATAGAAGACTAAGGTGATTGGACATTTAAATTCTTGGGAACCCATTGGTATTTAGGTTTAAAAACATTCACATGTGATTTTGAAAACTTTGACAAATCCGATCTTGGCTTAGCCACGTTCGGTTTCGTTAAAGTCCTAATTGTATTTTAATGTAAAACCTGTTTATTCCTTTTAAGCTCAGCCCATCTTCTGTCATTACTGACATTCCAATCACCATCACGAGAACGTGGTCTCGAGAATTTTCTAATAAGAGATCTTCCGCGTGACTCGTTCTCTCTTCTTTGTACATAAAAAGGAACAAATGCCCGATTTGGACAACTATGTGCAATCTGACCAGCATTTCCACAATTAAATCATGTTTGTTTCTTAGCATACCGCTCTTTTCTAATCTAGTGTTATTATTGACTCCCTTAATCTTCCCATAAGTGCATGTGCAAGATTCAGGTTGTGTGATAGGTGAGGGTGGAGTGGATGTGCTTGTCACAGGAACATCAGATTTATCAAACACATCACCACACTTAACAAAAACAACTAAATCATCAGACTTTAACATAGAATCATCACAAACCAAAACATCAGTTTTAGAGTTAAAAACAAAAGCATCAGTGTTTGCAATAGAAACATTAGATTTTGAAACACTATTATTATCAGACACACTATCTTCTGTTGCCTGCTTACCATGACTTAATGGTGAATCTGCATAGGAAGTAGAAATGTTAGTATTGTTTTCCCTAGCACTACTCACTGTTACAGGTATAACAGGTTTTCCATACACAAGATATTCCTCTCTGTCCATCTCTTCCTGGGTCATAGGGATAGCAGTGTAATTGTGATTAAAAGGAGGAGGGACATTCTTATATCCTAGACCTACCTGCTTCTTGTCTTTCCATCTCATTTGTTTCTCTATCATGGACTCAACTCTCTCACTTGACACATCAAACTTTTTGAAATTAAAATCAGCATTTTCAAATCGACTTTTTAATATGTCAAGCTCGTCGGTCATAGTGGCAAGGTGTTTCTTGATAAAATTGTTGTTCTCACACTTGTTGCTATACTCTTCCTATAGTTACCTAAAGTCCTTAGTTTTGGCCTCTAGTTGTTCTTTTAGTGGTCTTTGGCCATTCCTAATGTTATATCATTCGTATTTTAGGTCCTCGTTCTCTCTATGCAATAATTCGATTTGTTCACGTAAAAAGTTATATCAACCACTTGCAAGAAATTAGCTTATCATATAAACTAATACAAATTGTGAAAGTATGACAATTATCTTTTATTTGGATGTGGATAATCATTACCATAGCATCAAAATCAAATTTTACAAACAAAAACATTTTGTAGTAATGATCCTAATCCAAAATAGGTCAAAAAAAACTCGAAAATCTGCTGTCTGGACAGATAACTCGCCGAGCCCCTTACTACACTCGTCGAGTCCAATACAAAATTCATCCTACTCGTCGAGTTCAAGATTGGACTCATCGAGTAGGGTTATCAGACAGGTTTTATCATCTTAAAAAAACACATTTGAATCAAATATAATAGAAAACAACCCATGCCTCTGATACCAAAGTTGAGTTTTGGTATACTACAACATCCTATGGTGCACATACAACCCTAAAAGCTTTGGATCTAATTTTTCTCTAATTATACATGCAATACTGTTTCCAAAGTTTTAAGCCTACAACTAACATACAATTGATATAAACAACATAAAATTTAGTTATAGAGTTATCTCTTTGTTGTAGTTTGTAGTTTTGGCCTTTAAGAACTTAGTGCCCCATATATTGCACCTCAAATGGAATCACAACACACCTTGGACAAAATGATGACTTTTGAGAGAGTATTCTTGCACTAGAAATTGACTATAGGAACTCTAAGAACCTTAGGCATATTGATTTTATGCTATAGTGTCATATATATATATATATATATATATATATATATATATATATATATATATGTTAGGAATCCAAGAGTCATGGGTAAACTCTAATACATACTCTTGGGCTTATTATCCATGATGTAACGACCCAAAAATCAAGGATAAAAATTTCATTTTTAATATAGCTAAAACATTAATACCGTTTATTTCTAACATTTCAAATCATTGTTAAGTAAAACATTTATCAGAGTTCATCCCCAGAATTATTCATTGCAGAAATCATAGGTGTGTGCACTGCGATCAATCCGAGCTCTTCTTTTCCAAGACGTTGATACCTGAAACCAAAACTGCAAACCTAAGCACAAAGCTTAGTGACTCCCCTATAGCATACCCCACACACAATCCACACAACACATATCATATGAGCTATAAAATCTATCTCTACCACATACCACACATCAATTAGCTATAAAAGTTACCTCTACCACTTAATACAAAACAATTAGCTACAAAGGCTACCTCTACCGCATATCACATATCCATTAGCTATAAAAGCTACATCTACCGTGTATCATATATCAATTAGCTATCAATTTATCTCTACCATTAGCCACAAAGGCTACCTCTACCCGTAGCCCCAAAGGCTATCTCTACCGTTAGCCACAAAGGCAACCTCTACCCTTATCCCCAAAGGCTATCTCTATTGTTAGCCATAAAGGCTATCTCTACCGTTAGTCACAAAGGCTATCTCTACCATTAGCTGCAAAACTATCTCTACCATATATCAGTGCATAACAATGTCAAACACCTCTACACAGTAAGTATACCAACTATCATAAAATGGGTCGGCCTTGGTGCCTTAGACCCATTGGTATGGTGAGGAGACTCACCTCGAATGCAGAAGCTTCCTAAAGAAATCCTTAGATGCTGCCCCGTCCACTTCTTGAACCATCAATACCGATCAATATACCCAATTAGCAATTGGATCCCATACCATAATCCAAAATCCATGTATGAGGTAAAATAACCATTTTATCCCTAGCCCAGTATGATCCAAAACTAAGGCCCAAATCTCAAAACAAAACCTAACACTAGGTAGGCTTTCCAAGCCTACTAGTGGTCCTTTAATGGCCCAATTAGCTCAATTGGGCCCAATCTCTCTAACGGGCCTTACCCTGAGCCCAAACATATTCTTTGTAACACCGGATTCCTGGTACAATTCCTATTTATGTATTTTTCGCATTTTTCCTTGGACTCGATATACGAGTTAGAGGCCCGACTCGCCGAGTAGGAGCGATTTTGGCACGAGATTTAAGTGAGGGACTCGGCGAGTCAGGTCCCAGACTCGGCGACTCCATGTTGAACGAGTAAAACCCTAACCAGGGTGTTTGCACCCTATTTAAACACTCTAAGGTGCTGTTTGTTTTTCTGAAGCCAAAATGTCTGCAGTCTACGGACCACATCTGCAAGCCTCTGCAGCAGAAGAGGTGGACCAAACGTCTGCAGTCTGCAATAAGAAGACTGTTTGTTTTTTAACGTCTGCAGGCTGCTGAAATAAACTGAATTTTAAATAAAATTATTTTACAAACTTAAAATGATTTTTCAACACCAAAATTTTAATAATAATTGTCTTATAACATTGAAAATAAAATTCATGCAACTAAATTAGTCATAGAATAAAAAAAAATGTTTTACAATAATAATTTAATTTTAAACAATTCAATCTATATTATGCATCAACTGATCAGCAATTTCATCACGTAACTGAGTCATATATTCACGGTCTGCTGCAGTACCATGTGTTGGAATCCCGTCTTCATCATCATCAATGACCACATTGTTATTTCGAAACGGGACATTGGGTTCATCGTATCGTGCGAAATACTCATCACTCAATCCTTCTTTCCTTATATAATTATGAAGCGCGAAGCATGCCATGGCAATGTTTCTTTGTGTCACAAATGGGAATGGTGCCATCCTCTTCAATATAGGGAAGCGTGCTTTCAACACACCAAAAGCACGCTCAATGACATTCCGAAGTTTCGCATGTCCATGGTTAAATTTTTCTTTATTGGTCAATGCACGTCTTTTACGAAAATCTCCAAGCCAATACCTCACATTACGATAAGGGGCCAGAAATCCTCGAGTGTGTGCATACGCGGCATCACAAAGATAATATTTGTCTGAAAAAAATGCAAAACACCAATCAATTTTTAAATTAAAATAAATATATTTAAAAAAAACAAAAATTTACCTGGTGGTGGAAACGGGAATGATGCTTGTGGATCGGCTACTGCTTCTGATAATATTCTAGAGTCATGCGCTACCCCTTCCCACCCGGTCACAACAAATGTAAAAATCATATTGAAGTCACAAATTGCCAATACGTTTTGGTAGCAATCTCCCTTTCCCCTACTTCTATATAAGTCTTGTTTCTTAGCAGGGACAACAGCATGTATCAAAGTGCCATCAAGTGCACCAACTGCTCCTTTGAAAACCCTTCGTAGCCTCCTATTATGTCCTGGAATGTTTGGATTCGGATTAAAAGATGTTGGTACTATAACATCTTGTGCGAAAAGCATCATTTTTTCCAACACTTCATAAAAAAATTTATGAATTGTTTGCTTCGAGTGTTGAAATCTCCGCTTGATAATCACGTAACGTTGATTATGTCCGATCATCATCAAAAACATAGCCATCTTTTCCTCAACTGATACATGTTTGCTGTCCTTTAATGAGTAATTTGCTCTAAAATGAGCACATAGTCGTACAAAAGATTCACGGGACATGCGTAATACTTCAACACATTGTAAACAATTACGGTGTAATAACTCCAATGTGTATTCGTGTCCCGTCATTTCCGAATCATTATCCCGCAATCGTTTCACACCCCTCTTCCAAAAATAATGGATGTATAGGTACATTAGAATTACGAGAAGTAACTTTTGATCGTGATCCATATGAACCTAAAATCAACAAAGTAGAACTTTAAAAAACATTACATAAACCATATTTCAACTATCAAATAAACATTCCATTTATCATATTTCAAGTCAAAATAACATTACATAAACCATATTTCAAGTATCAAATAAACATTCCGTTAATCATATTTCAAGTACCAACAAGTGCAAAAAGACCTAACAAAATAGTTCCAACAAAGGCAAAAAAATTTAACAAAGTAGTTCCAACAAGGGCAAAAAGACCTAACAAAATATATCCAACAAAGGCAAAAACATTTAACAAAGTAGTTCCAACAAGGGTAAAAAGACATAGCAAATACTTTCAACACTAGAAAATCATCGAACAATCTTCCCATCCTTCAAAACTCCTAAACTGGTACCCGTCATCTCAAGCCACCCTTGTAAAATCTCAGGAATATCGGGCAAATGCATCCACATCTCTCTCATGTTCATGGTTCCTCCAAAAATATGATATGCGACAAAGCGTAAAGGATCTGTAGGGCCTAACTGAAGGACCTCTAACTTCTCTAAACACTGAGGAATTGTATACCCTTTAGTCAAACTTTGTAGAGCTTTCTTCATTTCAAATGCTAAATCATCAGCAGTAACAGAAGTTCCATCAGGTGAAGAAGCAGACGGTGAGGCACTAGGAGCTACAGGAGTTGAGGGTTTAGCCCTTTTGTTGGGGTTACCGGATGGTGTAGCAGTATATGGTGAACCAGCAGAAGGTGAAGCAGCAGAAGGTGAAGCTGCAGAAGGTGAAGCAGCAGAAGGTGGTGGCTCATGATGAGAAGTGTCAACACCATCATCATCCATTGCATCAAAAGGGGTGGCGGTGATCTGAAGTGGTGGAACACGACAGGAGGATGAGCCAGCTACTGATGATGATTGGGTTGAGTAACTCCTAAAATTACCAGTAGCACTATTTCCATCAAAAAGACGTGCACAAAGATCTGGAAAAGGCAGTGGAATTGTTCTCAAAGAAGCAGCTTTCGGATGCCCCTAATCCCAAATGTAACAAGAAATAGTATAAGAATATTTGGCAACTTCAAACGTAAATGTTATATATATATATATATATATATATATATATATATATATATATATATATATATATATTATTGTATATTAATATATATGTACCTTCTTAAAATCATCCCACTCCTCGGCTGTTAAATTAAAAGTGTTTGTTTGAGAATTGTATATATTGCCGGTTTTGTTTTTTAAATATACCCATCCAGTGTATTTGGCTTTCAGATTGTCATATGCGTTTTTCATTTGTTTTTGAGTCAACTCAACCCCAAATTTCTCCTTAACAACTCTTCCAAGCCTTATCCATGAATCTTTCTACAAACTCAATCCTTTTCTACCAACACTCTCTACTTCTTCAATACAAGTATCCAGTAAGCATTTTAAATGCTCATTGGTCCATTGTTGTTTTTCTCCCATCTCTAATAACCAAATAACAATAAACAATCAACAAGTAACATCATTATTTCAAGAAAAAGTTTTTATTTTCATGACAAATTTGTTTTACGACACATTTATAATTTTGTTTTATTTTCAATCACAATAATGTGAAACTTTTTATTCAATTATAAATAACCTCAATTAGAGTGTTTTAATTCAAAGTTTTCTAAAAAACTTTATAAATCAAATAAACTTCACTTTAACGACAAAAACTTTACTTCTATCAAATAAACAAAACTTATGACTCTTTTTGATGCTTTCTATCATATACATACAAAATCAACAATCATATACATACACACTATCATATAAATATACACAATCAATAATCATATATATATATATATATATATATATATACACAACCAAAACTCATATACAGATAAACAATCACAATCAACAATCATATACATATACACTATCATATACATATACACAACCAAAACTCATATACACATAAACAATCACAATCAACAATCATATACATATACACTATCATATACATATACACAATCAAAAATCATATACACATAAACAATCACAATCAACAATAGAAAATGAAATCTTTTGATTCACAGTTATGTATATTGGCTTCCAATCAAAGAAAAATATAATTATAATATTCTATTTGCTAGGAATTTGGCTGTCATATTTGAAATAAAAAATCTTTCCTGTGAAACAAGGATGTGAATCAAAAAAAATTGAACAAGGATGTGAATCAAACAAGAAATTGAACAAAGATGTGATTCAAACAAGATGAATTGAAAATGAAATCGACACAGAGAGAGAGGAAGGCAGCGATGGTTTTGATCGGTCAAACAAGATGTGAATCAATCAAGATGAATTGAAATTGAAATTGAACAAAGATGTGAATCAATCAAAGAAAGAGGTGAAGACAAACCCGATTGGTCGCTAGTTGAAGTTGTGGTTGTGCTTGTTGTTCGCTCGTCGCTGCTGCAATCGACCGTGATGGTCGCAAAATCGGAGGATGCCGGGACGGACAGGAAGGCGACGATCACTGGTTTTGATCGGAGAGGAGGGTTGCGATGGTGCTGGTCGCTGCAAGATGGAGTACGATCGATCGAGGGTTTTTCTGGGAAGGTGGGAGGTGGGACGACGACTGGAGGCGGACTCAAAAAAAAGACGTTTTTTTTAGGTCAAAAGGGCTTGCAGACTTTAGAAGAGGCTATCCCATATCTGTGTGGTGAAGACCTCGCGCAGACGTTTTTATGTCTGCGCACTTTAGAAAAACAAACAGACTGCAAACCATTATGTCTGCGCGTGGTCTGCGCCTCGCAGACAGAAAAGGTCACGCAAACCTGCAGAGAAAAAACAAACACCCTCTAACTCAGCCCCCCTTGTCCCTAACACTTCCAGAGAGCTGTAGAGAGAAACCCTATCCCCCATATTGTTCTTGTGAGTGATTTTTGGCTTGGTGAAGGAAGTTTGTAGCTTAGAAGAAGAAGAAGGAAGAGGTTGAAGAGTGCAAGGAGGGGAATTAGATCCGAAACCTACACTGTGAAGAGCTTCCATTCAGGTGGAAAGTTCCTACCTTGATCATTAGTTCATTAGATCCCCTTTTTGTCCCTAATTGATGGTTTTCAAGCCCTAAAACTTCAAACTCCATGTAATTATGCTCTATCTTCTAAAAGGACTTCGGAACTAGACCTTATGGACACCTTAGAAGTGTAAAGTCCTTGTGGTTGAAGTGATTGAGGTCCCTATTAAGTGTATGACCTACTAAAGAGCTTGGAATTGCCTTTTTGTGCTCATAGGGCCATGCATGCATCTAAAGTTTGCAACTTTACGTGATAAGCATACCCCAGGAGCTTAGATCTATGCTTTGGAACCGTTGCATGTCTCAGATTTGGTCTGTATGGGTGGAGGGTTGAAGGGAATCGGCAAGTTCCAAAGCGGACTCTGTGAGTTCTGTGAAGATCATCTTAGGCTCGGCGAGTTGGATGAACAACTCGGCGAGTCCTTTGAAGATTACCTAAAACTCGACGAGTTGTTCTCGGACTCGGCGAGTCGGATCGTGAGTCGGTCTGATCGTCCCAAGTAGTGAGTTAAGGGTGACTCAGTGAGTGGGAAGAGGGACTTGATGAGTTAATGTTGGGATAGTAGGAGAGGGACTCGGCGAGTCCATGCCATGACTCCGCGAGTCCAGTCAACTGGAAGTTGACCTTGACCAAGGAGTTGACCTTGGACCAGGGGTAGGCCAGTCTTTTGACCTAAGGGTATTTAGGAGTGACTAATCTATGTTTATGGATTTATAGCCGGAGGATTGTCGGTGCAGCAGTCAGTCGTCTAGCAAGCAGACTTTTAGCAGCTACTTTTTGAGGTGAGTTACCTTCCAGTAGCGGTGGGTCTAAGGCCACAATGTCGGCCCACCAGTAGGAGTTGTATGTTAGATGATTGTCTTTTTTATATTCATCTAGGTTTGCTACTACTTAGTATGTTTATGTGCTAGCATGTTATGATGTTATGTGATAGTGGTAGTAGGGGTGAAATAGTCCCTGGTTACCAGTCGATAGGATCGAAGGGGTAGTTTAGTAATCAGCCATGCTAGCTAGATTATGATATGTGTGATATGATATTATGTGACAATATCCGGTCGAAAGGACCGAAGGGGTGGCCAGCACCCAGATATGCTAGGCAGTATCCGGTCGAAAGGACCGAAGGGGAGGCCAGCACCCAAATATGCTAGGAACTATCCGGTCGAAAGGACCGAAGGCGAGGCCAATACCCAGATATGCTAGGTAGTATCCGGTCGAAAGGACCGAAGGGGTAGGTCGGGCACCTATATATGCCTGACAATATTTGTATGTTATGTGATTGTATGGTATGCGGTACGATGGGGGAACTCACTAAGCTTCATGCTTACAATTTACAGTTTTGTTTTCAGGTACCTCTTCTTCGAAGGGGAAGGAGTTGGTGCAGTAGCGGCACATCATACATGCACATTGTTTTCCGCACCATGAGTTATTATGGGATTTTGTACTCTGACATTATGGTTGTTTTTATGTTTTGGTTTTCAGACACGAAATATGTTTATGAAATGATAGAATCAAACGATGTTTAATCACAAATGTTTTCCAAAGTATTAAATTAAAAATGAAAATTTTGGACGTGAAAATTGAGTCGTTACAAGTTGGAATCAGAGCCCTGGTTTGAGTGATTCGGACACACCTTCGGGGGTGTCTGAACTCAAACCAAGGGATTCAAGGATTTCGAAAAAGAAAACGTTTTCTAAAAGATTAAGTACAGAGTTTTAAGAAAGAACGAAGTGTGTGATGCGCACGATTGGCCGAGCTCAAGTAAATATTCCCCAAAGTACCCATACAAGTTTATGTTATGTTTATCAGTTTCAGTAGAACAGCATGCTAGAATAGGACTAAGGATCTAGGAGTGATGCCTTATGTGACTAATTTATGTGCTTCAGTTTATGTGAATTGCATGCTAGTATAGAGTAGACAACGGTAGGATAGCCTATTTAGGTTATTCCTGATAGTATGAGCTTAGCATTGTATACTAGTACAGCTTCTCTCCATGAGAACAGACTTGCTTGAGTAGTTTACTTGCATCCGAATGCTGCTTGCTTTGTGCTTTGTGGGACTCTGATTGATGGGAGTTAACCATTAGGTGAATACGTCACGTCACATGTAGTCGGGGAGGAATAATCTCAGAGTGTTGGATTTGGCCCTATTGCGCAGCTCTCGTTTGAGTCTAACCATTGTAGGGACGAGTCAGTTACTCGAATGATTATCTAAGCCTCATCGCATGTGATGGTATTCAGGTGATGGCTAATTGGCATTACAAGGAGGCCTTCAGCAGCTGAGGACTGGTTTGGGTAAGGCCAGATATTTTCCTTAGGGTAAGCCTAGGATGAGGATAGCAGTGATCAGCAGTGGTAAAAAGGGATCTGGTGGAGTCAAGGCAGTCATTGAAGAAGGTACGGATAGATGTGGAAGGTAGTATGGGCTCGTACTACTGACAGCAGAGGATCGGTACCCGAACTGAGGAAGGCTGAGACAAGACCAGGGAACTTCTAGTAAATGGGATCCCTCAAGAGGTATCTGTATCACTAACGGTTGGTATTATGTATTACAAAGTGGTGGTACTACGTCCGAGACCAGCAGTTGACAGTTTAGGAGAGGGATCGGGTTCGGGATCAGGTTCTGATCCAGTAGACGAGAGGCTACGTGAGTTCATCGCGTCAGAGATCACCAAAGGCATCCTTGACTTGACCCCCATCATCTTCGGGTCGATCAAGGAAGGGATGGTTGAGTTGATGGAGGATCGCCTCAGGGCATTCAGGAGTGACATGGCCTCTGGCCAGTCAGGATCTCGCACACTGTCCTTTAAGGACTTCAGGGGTAGTGGTGCACCGGATTTCCATGGGGCAAAAGACCCCATTGCTACCAGACGATGGATTGCGGACATTAAGTCCGCACAGTTGACCAGCTTCTGCCCCGAGGGGTCGAAGGTGAGATATGCAGTTTGGTGTTTGAGAGACAGAGCTAGAGACTGGTGGGAGTCTGTTGGTGACTCATTGGGATCCTCGGCTATTAAGGTTATGACATGGTTGGATTTTATGACCCGGTTACGAGCAGAGTTTGCACCAGCGGTAGAGCTTCAGCAGCTGGCTAGAGAGTTTCTGGACATGAGGCAGACTACGGAGACTACGGCGGAGATCACCGCTAAGTTCCATGAGAGGGAATTGTTGGTGCCCCAGTATGCGGGAGATGAGGATATGAGGAGGACCCGCTATCATGACATGCTACGAGCTGACATCCGGGAGCATGTCAGTTTTTCAGCTTGCCCTACCCTGGATTCCATGATTGCCAGGGCTAGGGAGAGGGAGATTGATCTGGATCATATCCTGAAGAGGAAGGCAGAGGAGGGACATGTTACAGTGGATTCAGGGAAGAAGCCCAACGGATCAGATGTTGGGCCGAAAGGCCAACAAAGTCGAGGCCACTATAGGAAATACC